ATCTTTGCTCCGACATCATCAATCTCCATCGTTTCTTCAACCTGAAACTTCTGGATCGAAGATACTTTGACTTTCAGATTTTGCCTGTGTACTTTTCATTTGAAGGGGAAGATGAGTAATCAGAAGAAAAGAAATTTTCAGATAGAGGCGTTTAAGCACCGGGTCGTGATGGATCCGAAATACGCTGATAAGACCTGGAAGATTCTGGAGCACGCGATTAATGAGATATACAATCACAACGCTAGTGGTCTCAGTTTCGAAGAGCTCTACAGGTCTCCTTTCTTTCTCGTGATTTCCATCGGCTGCCATTAATCTTGCGTTTGCCTTCCTCTCTGGGAAAATTGTTTTCTTCGTGTGATGTGATCTTTCTGATCTCTTGGTGGACGAGTCGGCTGTATCATCTTGATAAGCTTCGAACTTGCGGTTGTACTCAGTAAAATAACTCGTCAATTTTGAATGCCGACACAGCTTATTATTGGCCTGTGCAGTTATTTACATTGTTTGAGAATCTGTTATTTAGTATTGCACTGCTCAGAGTATTTAAGGTATCTGAACTGTACAAAGTGGATCGTAAAAACAAATTTATTATCCTTCTTGTAGTTCCTTCTGGTCAACTTTTCATGGTATGTGCATTGTGTGAGATAAGGTGTCTCCTATGTCTAGGAATGTGTTTATGGACGAGTTAATTGAATATATGATGGAGCTCTTTTTTCTTTTCGAGATTATAACTGGAGCTCTTTTTTCTTTTCGAGATTATAAGATGCTCAATTTTTTTTGAGTTGTGGATCAGCTTCTATGCTGTTCTATTTCTTAAATCGTTGGAGTTGCTCGGTATCTGAACCCAGACTGTCTTCATCTGTTTCAATTTTTTTGCACTGTTTTGAGTTCTTATGATATCTTAATAGATTGAGTTGCGCTTCTTTTCACAAATTTTAACATAGCTTGGAGAGAGAAAAAACTGTGAGTTTAGAAACTGGGAGGGTTGAAACCCTGAACTATGCAGGGATTGCTTAGTTGAAATTCTGTATTGGATAACTATTTACTTGTGAGGATATTATGAGGGATTCTGATATACATCATTGATAAGAGTCCACATTAATGTTTCAAGGTTGGGCCTCTTAATGGAAATGTTCTTGTGGAACACAATGGGTACTGAATCTATTGACTTTCTCTTTGCATGCAATGAAACTTCTGCTTCTTCTGAGTTCTGAAAAGGATAGTTTTATTAGCAGATTTGTCAGCTGTAGTTGGATATTTATTAGAGTAATGGTTTATACTTTATACTTCTACTCAGCTAATGACTTGTTATTTAAATAACATACACTGAACTAACGGATTTTCTTGTGGGATATGTGCCCATCGAAAGGATTTTATGTCTTGTCCTATTCTTTCCCGAGGGAAAAATTATATATCATGCCTCTAAACTTTTCACCTCTGTTTCTGTGTGGATTCAGAAATGCATACAATATGGTGCTTCACAAATTTGGTGAAAGGCTTTACTCTGGACTGGTCACAACCATGACTGCACATCTCAAAGATATAGCCAATTCTGTTGAAGCAGCTCAAGGTGAATCCTTTCTGGAGGAACTCAACAGAAAATGGAGTGATCATAATAGGGCATTGCAAATGATTAGAGACATACTAATGTATATGGATAGAACTTACATCCCAAGCACACATAAGACCCCTGTTCATGAGCTTGGGCTGAATCTATGGAGAGAAAATGTTATTTACTCCAGCCAGATCAGGACCCGGCTATTGACTTTACTTTTGGAATTTGTACAAAGAGAACGCACTGGTGAAGTTATTGATAGAGGGCTAACTAGGAATATAATAAAGATGCTATTGGATTTGGGTCCATCTGTCTATACACAAGAATTTGAGGCTCATTTTCTTCGAGTGTCCGCTGAGTTTTATAGGGTAGAATCCCAGAAATTCATTGAGTGCTGTGACTGTGGGGAATATCTGAAAAAAGCTGAGAAGCGACTGAATGAGGAAATTGACAGGGTGAACCATTACTTGGATTCCAGGACTGAAAAGAAGATAACAAATGTGGTGGAGAAGGAGATGATTGAAGATCACATGCTGAGATTAATCAATATGGAGAATTCTGGGTTAGTAAATATGCTTTGTGATGATAAATATGAAGATCTGGGTAGAATGTATAATTTGTTTCGTCGTGTTCCTGAAGGTCTTTCAAAAATTCGAGAAGTGATGACTTCTCATATCAGAGAATCTGGCAAAGTGCTTGTTACTGATCCAGAAAGGTTGAAGGATCCTGTAGAGTTCGTGAATAGGCTTTTGGATGAGAAAGATAAATATGACAAGATTATTAACCTGTCATTTAACAATGACAAATCTTTTCAGAATGCTTTGAATTCTTCATTTGAATACTTCATTAACTTGAATCAGCGTTCTCCGGAGTTTATTTCACTATTTGTAGATGATAAACTTCGTAAAGGTCTTAAGGGTGTTAGTGAAGATGATGTAGAGATTATTCTTGACAAGGTGATGATGTTGTTTCGATATTTGCAGGAAAAAGATGTTTTTGAAAAGTATTACAAGCAACATCTGGCAAAGCGACTCTTGTCTGGAAAAACAGTTTCTGATGATGCTGAGAGAAGCCTCTTGGTTAAGCTCAAGACGGAATGTGGTTACCAATTCACCTCTAAATTAGAAGGCATGTTTATGGACATGAAAACTTCAGAGGACACGATGCAAGGTTTTAACTCAAGCCACCCTGAGCTTGGAGATGGACCTACACTGACTGTTCAGGTTCTGACAACAGGATCTTGGCCTACTCAGCCCAGTGCTCCATGCAATCTGCCGGCTGAGGTGTCAGCACTTTGTGAGAAGTTTCGGTCATATTACCTTGGTACTCATACCGGCAGGAGATTGTCCTGGCAAACAAATATGGGATCTGCAGACATAAAAGCAACCTTTGGAAATGGCCAGAAGCATGAGTTACATGTCTCCACTTATCAAATGTGTGTCCTCATGGTGTTCAACGATACAGATAGACTTAGCTACAAGGAGATTGAGCAAGCAACACAGATTCCTGCTTCAGATCTGAAGAGGTGCCTACAATCATTGGCTTTGGTGAAGGGCAGAAATGTCCTCAGGAAGGAGCCTATGGGTAAAGATGTTGCAGAGAATGATTCATTCTTTGTTAATGACAAGTTCAGTAGCAAATTATACAAGGTAAAAATAGGAACGGTAGTAGCACAAAAGGAATCAGAACCAGAAAAGTTAGAAACACGACAGAGAGTGGAGGAGGACAGGAAGCCTCAGATTGAAGCTGCAATAGTGAGGATCATGAAGTCAAGGAAGTTCCTTGATCATAACAATCTAGTAGCAGAGGTCACAAAGCAGTTGCAATCGCGATTCTTGGCAAATCCGACAGAGGTTAAGAAAAGGATTGAGTCCCTCATTGAGCGTGAATTTTTGGAGCGTGATGAGGGCGACAGAAGGTTTTATCGGTATCTTGCCTAGATGTGGTTCCAAAGCTTGTTCAGTTCCTGAAGACTAGCGGTGAGCCATTATGCTGTATCTTAGCACCGCGGGTGAATGTTGCATTTGAAAAGCTCCATTGATTTTCAATGTACATCATATTGTTGTGTGTCGGGTTTTGTATTTGAGAGCTTGTAATCTGCATAAATTAACAAACTAATGTCCATGCTCTATTTGAGGAATCCTCGTATGTCTTTCCTTGACAACTTTGCTGCTCGAAGCTAGGAGGTTTTCACCGATCCAATCCAATGCAAAGGGCTTACTATTTTCAGCTTCTCTAGTAGCTCTTTAGAACCCCCTATTAAGGGGGCCTGAAAAACTTTTCAGAAGTTTTTTTTCGCAAATCGAGATAAATTCCTTCACATATTTATTTTGTAGACTGTAAAATCACTTCTGAAACTATGATTTGGTTTTTATCCAAATACTCATTTAGGATGGTCACACTCTCTTTGGACAAGTCTTTTATAAACAATTTTTTTGAAAACATGGAAAAAAGTTACAATGCAGGTATAATATACAAAACGTAATTTTTTTTCCAAAAGAAAAAGATGATTCTTTAATTTCTTTGTCTCGGAAAGTCGCCTAATCCCACAAGGACAAATTCTTCAAGTCGGAAAACTCGTGTCCCTTAATAACAATTGACCTCTGTAACAGAGATAACAACAGACAAAGAAGATGTAAATGCCAGATTGTACTCTATCCTCCTCCTGTCATCGTCAACGACTGCGTTTTAACCACGAAGACAGGAACCAAAGCGACTGCCAAGCCACGTTGCACAAATTTGATATTAACACAACTTATTGTCGGCAAGCTTCATCCACTAGATTAGGGGGGAAAATAATAGTCTGCTCACTAACAAGTTCTCTCCAAGGAATCGGCCAGCCTTCTCGCGGGCGAGAATTGAATAACGTAGCTGTTTCTGGGCTTTTTTTTTTTTTTTGCCTCTAGTCTTTTAATTTTCCAATGTATTAAAGGAAAAAAACAAAAAATCCAACCCACCTTGCTGGTACGCATGTATAAGATCAAAGTATATAATTGTTTGTGAATTGTCTAATATTGAATATTATAAATTCATATTCAAGCAGTCAAGCACTACTATATGAAAGTAGCTCTTCTATTTTTTTTTTTCATTACCAAAATTCGAATCCTCTAATTTTGAGTCCCATGCATCCATTTGATCCAATAATGATTGGAAATGGTAGAACATATATTAATTCTGAACCAAATAGCATGTTTTCACCCAAAACGATAAACTGAATGGTATGGTGGTCAATTTTTTTCTGGGGGCCAAAGTTGAGATCATTTTTAAGCCACGGTCCAGTTCACATCCTCAGACTTGACTTGCTCGCGTTAATTGCTCGACAGAAGACTATTTCAGATTTTTTTTTTACACAAAAATAAATGTTGACGATGTGTCAAAAGGTGTTAACGAACAGAAAGGTAACAAATGTAATTATGAAATTTAAACTTTCCATACAGTCACGTATTTTTAAATCACTCTGTGTGAAAATGTAAGAGATCAAACTTAAATATGGTGACTGAATACAGTTATATTTCACAAATATTCTGATACTATTATTTCTCACAGCTTCTACCATCGACTAACTAAACTCGCATAATAGAGGATGATCTCTCTCGAAGCTTCAATTCTTGTGAGCAGCATTCTATGCATTGGATGAATGTGGGAGAATGAACTGATTTGTGTAGAGCATTTACAAGTACTTCAATTATCTGCTCAATACTTGTTCGTTTCTGGAGATCGGCAGTGAACCACCCTATTAGGCAGGTTAAAAATTGCATTTTGAAAGCTCCATAGGTTTCATTGTTTATCACATTTGAGATGAGCTTATTACCTGCATAACCTATCAACCTAATGTCCATTTCTTTTCATTTTCGGTTTTTTTGAGAAAAAATGACGGGGTCCAACAGTGATAATTCTTCCATGATAACCAGCTATCACTGCGACACAATTGACCGCTGCTGTACACAGTTTTGCTTGGAATAAAGGAAAAGAACTCCATAGAAGCAGCAATACTAGAGTCACAGAGAAACCGACAGAGAAGATGTCAATGTAGGAAAATTGTACGCTGCGTTTTAATCATGAGGCCACAGACAAAGTGTTTGCCAAGCAACGTTCTTTGTGAATAATCAGCACAAATTTGTAGAACCAGAGACAAGCTTCTGCTATAAAAGGCATCCTTTACCATGGTGTTTGGCATAGGAAGCTGCACAAGAGGCAATTCATTAGATATTGCTTATTACTTTGCAATGGCATCCAAAAAGTTGTCAATCTCAATCTCTGTCTTCTCCTTCATCGTGTTAGCACTAGCAACTAGATCCAATGCAGGAAGCATAGCAATCTACTGGGGCCAGAATGGTAATGAGGGCACATTGGCTAAGGCTTGTGCCACTGGCAACTATGAGTATTTGATTTTGGCCTTCTTACCAACTTTTGGGAATGGCCAAACCCCGATGATAAACTTGGCCGGTCATTGTGATCCCTACAGTAATGGCTGCACTGCCTTGAGCTCTGACATCAAATCCTGTCAAGCCAAAGGCATCAAGGTGTTGCTGTCTTTAGGAGGAGGCGCTGGTAGCTACTCACTTGCGTCCCCTCAAGATGCACAACATGTAGCCACTTACCTTTGGAACAACTTCTTAGGAGGACAGTCTTCTTCTCGTCCACTGGGTCCTGCTGTTCTCGATGGGATTGACTTCGACATTGAAGGAGGATCAAACCACTACTGGGGAGATCTTGCGAGGTACCTTAAAAGCTATGGCAATCAGGGGAGAAAAGTTTACATAACTGCAGCACCTCAATGCCCATTTCCTGATGCTTGGATAGGAAATGCCCTCAAGACGGGTCTTTTTGATTATGTTTGGGTCCAGTTCTACAACAACCCACCCTGCCAGTACAGTTCAGGAATCACCAATCTCGATGATGCATGGAAGCAGTGGACATCAGACATTCCAGCTAACAAGATATTCCTGGGGCTGCCAGCTTCTCCTGAGGCTGCAGGCAGTGGCTTCATTCCTGCATCTGATCTTACTTCCACTGTGCTACCAAAAATTAAGGCTTCAGCAAAATATGGAGGTGTCATGCTGTGGTCTAGGTATTATGATGCCCAAAGCGGATATAGTAACTCCATCAAAAGCCACGTCTAAAATATATACTCATCATTAATGTACTAGCCTATATGTTGTGTATTGATGCATGTTTACATATAAATATTTAGTATGCTCAATTAAATCGCCCATAAATACATTTGCCCCGTCCCTTATAAGGTTACAAGGGATGGAAATCATCTAACAAATTTTCTTGTACAATTACTCCGTAAAAAAATTTTACTATCAGATAACTAAACTCCCATGATACGGGATGATCTCTCTCACAGCTTCAGTTCTGTGTGTAGTTTTCTATGTAACTGACGTGGGAGAATGAATGATTTTATCTAAAGCCCAATGACCCAGTAAAAGTAATGTTACTTTCAAAGGAAGAGCAATTTTTACTTGTGGAGAATTTCCCATGTGCTTAGCATTGCAAATTTGGCTGCATGGCTGCTTTAAAAGCGGAATAAGCGATTTCTGCTATCAGACAAAGGGGTTCATTTGGCTGCTGTTCATTATGAACACAATTATAATAGTTACACCATATTATTTAGGAAAACTTAAGCAGCAATTATTTCATGGCATCATTGCAACATAGATAAGAAATTCAAGAGGATAGATAACATCACTAACACGACCTAATACAAAACTCCCAAGATTGCTTCTATGGTTGAAAACTATGACTCCAAATTGAGAATGCGGATTTTTATATCAGAGAATGTCTTCACATCAGTTCCCCATAACCTGCTTTTCACAGATGAGCATAAAATGCTTTTTAGAAGATAGCAATGTACTCAAATCTCAGCCAACAAATAAATGCAGACGTTAAAGAACTCCCCCCCCCCCCCCCCAAAAAAAAAAAAAAGCATACATGCAGTGAACAGACATTGAGATATTTCTATCAGTCCAAGAGAGGAGGTATCAGCATTAGACAAGAAAGCTCTTACCAACAATCTATTCCAACTGCATTGGCCCCTAATTTATCTGCTTTTTTATCATCTCCTATGTGTAAGGCTCTGCTTGCCTCTACTTCAACTTGATCTAGTAAAAGGCAAAAAACTTGTGACAAAAAATTCAACAAATTCTAGCATCATTGTGGGACTAGATGTAGCAATGCAGTGAACAGTGCCACTTTTCGTTAGAATTAATTAAACTAACATGCTTGCAGCATTCTTGCAGAAGTGATTTTCTAAAATCGGTTTTGATCCATATGATACAAAAAATAGTTCAAGACAATATTTCTTCAAGTCTTCCTCATCCTCTAGTATTCCAAATGTAACTTTGTAATATATATATATATATATATATATATATATATAGATTATTGATTTTGTTATAATCATAATTTTATTCTAGAGTATCTCCTATATTTACCGTTTTACACTTTAGGCAATAGAAGTTAAGCAAGACAGAGATGAGTGGAAATGTGGAACAAAATAATTTACAAAAGTGGTGATAAATTAACAGGTGAAAATACGACCAGTATCTACTTGATACATGAAGACCATACATACCTAAAGCAGCTTCAAATATTCTTGGATCTGGCTTTTCATATCCAACTTCTGATGATATAATAATAGCATCAAACCTAAGATAAAAACCAAAATTTTATATGGATAAACACCAAGAGAGGTTCATGCACAACATGGATTTCTGAAAACTTAGAGGTTTGACAAGAAAAAATCTCCTCAGCTATGTCAATGTCATCCAAATGTTCAAGAATGCAACAAAGCTAAGTAATAACATGTTCAAGAAATTATCGATGCTCACAGATTTAATACACTAAGATCCTTCAATAGCTTCCTCAATCGAGTGTCAAAATTGGAAACAACGGCCATCTTAACTGTGTCACTGCTTTTCATGTTAGAAAGAACAAATGTCGAACTCCAAAGAACTTAGATAAGTCAGGGCACATAATTTTAGTGGTCTAGGATAAAGAAATATGTGTAATTCATTTGACCTCCTGAATCCTTGAGAAGGGAAATTGTTTCATAAGCTCCATCTGGAAGATGCCACGCATGACCATTTGCATAGTACTGACAAGAACATTACTTAGAAGTTCAGATACAAGCAGTTCGCTTGAGAGCCATCAAGAGTTGGAAAAGAACGGTATGCTCATGAGAAGGGTTACCTCATAAACTTCCTCAAAATAATCTTCATCAGCACAACCCGTGGCTTCAGAAACCACAAGCTTCCAAAATGGCCTCCCGTCTCCCTGTAATGAATACAACTTAAAAATCTGTTACTGCTGTATCTTGAAGAAAACCGGCATTAAGCACCCTTTACATGCTGCTTTTCTGTTTATGTATATTACGTATCTTGAAGAAAAGAGATCAATCTCTGGACTAGATTATATGTTTATGAAAGAAATCTACTAGGTAAACCATCTGACATCAATAATCATGAAATAGATACAGTAGAAAATTGACTGCAAAAGTGACACAGAAGTTACGCATAAGCAAGTCAATTTGTAAACATAGATAAGTACCACGGTAGTGTTTCAATGAAAGAAAAATTTTTCATTATGGAACAATTAGAATCCTTTTGCACAAAACTGGTCTCTAGCAAACCAAATATGTCATTATAGAAAGTCATATGTGCTAAGTACAAGGTCACCAAAACTTTATCTAACCGCTGGAGGCATAGAGACTAGAACTATGTACACTCTATATAACACTGTCCTCACGGTTTCCAAATAACCATTAGATGATCGGAAGCAATCTCATCCAGAAAAGAAAAGTGGCATCTCCAAAGGTGTGAATGAGCTTTGAATAAAGGTCAAGTAAATACAGAGCATCATTGTAAAGTACACACACACACAGACAGATTATCACGCACAGAGCACAAACCTGGTAACGTAGCTTTTCAGGCCAAGGGGCAGCAAATGCTCTCCTAAACCCTTGCTTTATCTCAGCTGGTGTCACAGTCAAACCTTAAAAATGTTGACAGAAAGCTATCAGGTATATTCATGACTCCAAGCCACGTATTAACAAGTGAGAGTCATACAAAGTACATTTTTAAGTTAACTCACTTGATTCACTGGAGCAATGTAACTTAGGGATTCATATGGGAAGCCCATGACTTTCGAAAACTAAAAATGACCACCGTACGTTGCACAGATACGTTAAGATCTAAAGAACTCTACTACAATAGTCTAGCCATAAACTTTACTTTCCAATTCAAATTTGACTGCAAATAATTCAAATTCAAATCACCAAAATAATTAAATACAAACAACCAAATTATGCCATCCAAAAAATACTATTCACACGCCAAGCGAAGCCACATAACTTGGCTTGACTTTATTGTAATAAGACATAGATAGTAGATAGCAAATAGCAGATTGGGAATGAAGCTAGTTATTTTCATTCCTTTTCTTTTTTTGAGTAAAAGAGACGCAGCATTAAGATAATTATGGCCTTTTATTGGTAGTTGCTGAGTGAATTTATAAATCAACGATCGCAAACTAACCATATTTTCTTCCAATTGCAGAGTAAGTCTCCTCAACTGGCTTTGCCAATTGCAAAAGGGTACCTCCAGCGTCCAAAAGCAAAGCATCATATGCCCTCCCACGAGAATTCGATCCATCTACGATCAAAATTTGAGCAGAAACAGAGACAAACAGAGAAACTTGAGCAAGAATGGCCAGAACATGTTACACTCCCGCAGTAAGCGAATGAACCACTTCCTATTGATCAACAAGTAATCTATTTCTGTACCCGGATGGGGGAAAAAAAAAAATCATGTTTTGGTTAAGTGAAAACGATGGGTACGAGTAGTTGAAATGTAGCTGACCGTAGCGAACCGACATCGAAGAAAATCCAAAAAGCTTTGAATTCGGAGGTTTGAGAGCTCTGAATAATGCGTTACCGGGAGAGCATCTCACCAGGCTAGTCCCCATCGGCTCCACTAAAATGTTTTGACGTCAAATTCTATGTGGTTGTCTTCGGCATATTTCTACAACAGCTTGGAGCTTTTTTTGCCAAAAAAAAAAAATCCTAAATTACTGGTTCCTGTAGTTAATTTTGCCCCAGCAAGGGATAATTTTGCCTCCTCATTCAAATTTTGCTGCTTGATTTCTGGCCAGGAAAAAAAGTTGCTGCTGGATTATTCCTATGATAAATTCTACTCCTCCGATCCTTAATATATGACCTAATTGTTAAGTTAGTTTTGATCCTAAATATAAGACTTATTTATCATATTTATTAATTTTTTCTAAATTATCCATGTAAATACTTCATCAACCATAATCAAGCAAGTGAGGGGAAAAAGATATTAGAAAAATGATTGTGGTTTTAGAAAAAATATGTTATATTTTTTATAATTAACTAACTTATCTAATTTTTTTATTTTAATCAAATTAGTTAAATAAGTATTATATTAAGGGCTGGAGGAGTAATATAAATTCTGGCCAAGAAAAAAGTTGCCGCTTGATTATAACACGAATTCATAGGAAGGGACGTTTGCAACAACTATATCTTCAAATTCATGTCACTGTAATTTAGGTTATTTATGCTTCATTGCTTTGAGCTTACAGGAATCCGGATCCAAATCAGTAAACATTATCTCCCCAGTTGCTTCCCTGAAGAGAAAAGCCCCTTTACAGTTTGGAAAGTCGGTGCCCAATAAATAAGTGAATTTTCCTGCTTTGGAATTAATTATAAACTATTGAACCGCATCAACTATTGACTTGTAAGTTTTTATAAAGAAAACACTCATAATTATTAACTTGTTTGAATTACAAGCTAATGCTTGAAGGTGGATTGAACCCACATTCTAGTGCCACACATGCTGTATAGCTTCCTTAATTTATGCCAAATATTTATTGGCAATAACATGGACTGTCCCAAGATGCTCTGTAGAACACAGAATTTCCCATGAAATTAGGTTCATTATAATTATAAAAGCGAGATTTTTCAATTGTCATGCTTGGGTATTTTCAACTTAAAATCCAACTGAAGGTCTACGCGCAAATTAAATAGATAAACAGAGTTATTAAAACATCCCCTCTATGATGTACTTAACAAATAATTTTAAAAATAAAATAAAATATTTCAGTAGCTGGTCAAGTTAAAAAGACCTATTAAAAAAACAGTACATCCACTGAAAAAGAACAATTTACAGATATTTAGTCCTGCTAACCACTCTAAACTTTTCCGGGGCAGAACAGAGGACCAGTGACATGTCAGTGCTTACCCAAATTTGAAAATGTAAACAAATCAATTAAAAAAAAGTTAGCAAAAATCTCCACTTCACGCCTACTTAGCGAACGTGAGGAAGCTGGGAAATCAAAACCTTCATCATCTTTCTCTTCATCATACAGCAGCAGCAACCACCATCAACATTGGTTACAAGGAGAATAAACAGTCCACTTCCGAAGAAGAAATGTAGTGTTTTGTCCAAGCTTTAATCATACGTCAATTTTGACGAATCAGAGCTGAAACGAAGCCAAATATGATAAAATACATTCTGCCTTCAGTGTGAATCCCTGCTCACATCAGATACATCATGTCAGGAGCTCAGGTATGCGTTAATTAATCTTGATCAAATCCCCAATTAATATAAACGAAGGCAGAGAAATTCTTGCAAACACCATCCTAAATGGTCCATTAAGGGTTACTCTTAGATGCAGTTCCTTGTATACTTGCCGATAGGCTCTCTAGCTACAACTAACAAATGTACGAGTCTTTGATGACAAGTGTCATATTAAGTTTCAAAAACTCTGAATGTCATGTTTTAATTTGAGATCCTGAAGGACAGGATACAAGGAATTACATCTAAGTTTAATCCTTAAAAATAATGGGGCATTAAAGAAGGTAAGGGTCACACTCAGGATTACAGGATTAAAGCAGCCACAAAAGGCAACCTTGCAGAGGTTAAACTGATCAAGCAGTCTGGTTAAGATGGAAGAAGCCGGTGCCGGAATAGCTTCACCAATGCTCTGCGTTCACAATCCTGCAAAAATTTATGAAATTTATACAAATTATCCCATTTATTTAATATATATTATAAATTTATACGTAACAACGCAGAAATGATGAGAGTTAAGTAGAACTGATGAAAAACATTACAAGTCTGTTCACAAAAAAAAAAAATTATACTCCTCCGGTCCCAAATATAAGACCCATTTTGTAGTGTAATTTACACTACAAAATGAGTCTTATATTTAAGACCGGAGGAGTATATATATTACAAGTCTGTTGGGATGCAAGACTCATCAGGAGGGTTTTAACCAAGCAAGCTTTTCAAAATGTTACCAGCAGTTATATACAAGAGCAAGGTTATTTGTCAAGTAGCGCCCAAGTAGGACTTGTGTCCTTGTCATTGCAGACCAAAAGCCACCAACTAATATGGCCTCGGAGGGAGATTACAGAATGCGTGCAGAATAAACAATGAACAAGAAAAATATAAAATAAAGAACGGCCTACCTTGAACATGTACAAGTGAAATGGCCTATCAGGATTCATTCGCCTGAGTTTTAAATAAGTATATGCAAAGCTTAGTTGATCACGGGATGTAAATCGATCCACTTCATTGAACCAGAGGCATGAAAATAAATTAGACATTGGTGTATGCGCCCTGACTATCAAGGAACCCTCAGGAACATCTGCAAGGTGAAAGACAAACATTTGAACCACATAACCAATCACACGACCCAACAAAAATTCCATAGTAAACAAAGATACCAAGGAGACCTACAACTTGGAAGAGGATTATTAGAAGCTAAAGGATCAAACTTTGAGAGACCATCAGATTGGTAGAAGTTAAACTGTTCATCAATTGCCGCATGGTCATACTTATTCAAGCGTTTATTTTGGAGTACCTCCTCCCACACACAGTGGCGATCATAATGATTTGAGATGGCGTATTCGGCCTTCCTCCGCCACAAAAAGTATTCAATAATCAGCAATGGATCAGCATTAAGTCGCATCTTGCTGTCAAGCCAAATTGAGTACCTAACAATCAAGGATTTTAAATAAACATTAGATTGAGGAATGGATAGCCAAGAAACCAGGATGCTACAACAAATTGCAAGAACTACCTAGAATTTGGGAACAGGCGATGTGATAAAAATTTTGGCACCTTGCCAGTTCTCCGCATGTCCTCATATGGCAAGTTTTTTACAACAACTATTTTCCAGAGGCCAATGTACCCTCTATCATCAGGACTGTTTCCTTCAGATGATAATTTGGACAGAGTTTGATCATCCAAAAACATGACAAAGCAAACATTGTCCTTTGAATATTGACTGATCTGCAGCAATTAGGCATACATAATTCATGCTAAGTAATTTACAGACACTTGAAAGTTGACACTATAAAGTAGACACATGATTAGTTTTCAACATCTTATAGTCACAAAAACAAGGTGGATAAATAACTTCTATTCCTCAGCACATAACATGCTAATGTTATCATACATTAGACCCATTCAACATACATAGATCTTGAAAAAAGAGTAACAACCAAAATCATCATGAACAAAACTAAACTGGGAATATTCAAAGATGATGCTAATCAGTGAAGATGCTAGTCATTGGATAGTTCATAAATGAAACCCAATATGCTAAAAATCATAGACGATCCAGTGTAGCGAATGGTATATTTGAGCATGAATTCTCGTTTTAAGAGAGGTCTCAGCTCCCTCTCGTATTTTTTCCCTCTAAATTTTACTTTACCTTAGTCTTTCTGTCACCATTGCATATTTCTCCGCGGAGTTTATATTGCTGAGCAGGTGAAGACACAAAAGACGCCCAAATTCAGACCGCTAATTATCTTCAACATACTTGTCACTTATCTAGCTTGGGTTCGATCAAAATTTTAATCACCTCAGTACTATTATTTCTAGAAACAATTTTAGCAAGACGATATCATAAAGAAAACACAGGCCAACAATACTTGTAAATTCTTATATACTCCACATCAAGAAAAGATTGAAAATAGATGACAGGATTACCAATCTACTTGTAGGCCTCCTGAGAAAATCAGAGCTTCCAAAAATGCACGAAGAAACAGCAACCTTACAGTTGTTCATATAAGCCTTATCTCTTTCATCTAAATCAAATCCAGTGCTTGAATATCCTCCTTTCCCCTTGATAAAACCACAATGAAGGGTCTGGTTTACCCCATAAAATGATCTTTCTCTTTCCTCAAGAGTCTGATGTCCTCCAAAGCGAGGTTCAAATAAATTATTTTCTGACTCTTGATCTTCTTGACTAATATATTCTAGTGAAAACCAGGTGTAGTTAATGTAATTCTTGGGCTCGTGAATGGCATCTACTGATTCCAGAAGCCCAACTTCACAAGGAAAATCTGCAAGATTGATATTACGGACAAGCATAGGATGAAAATAATTGAGTTAATTATGGAATTAAAATGCACAAATCCAAATGACAGCGCTGATAAATAATTGAAAAGATGGTCAACAAATTTTAAGGATGAGCGGTTATTTATTATCATCAAATCAAGAACTCAAAAGGTCTCTTTTTTTTTTTTTTTAAAAAAAACATTTAATAAAGAGGCCACTAGCTGAATCTCTGCTAAGTCATAGATTAAAGGAAAGGAACAGATCCTTGGCAAATCTTATTTAGTAGTGTTTCCATTGAGTTTTGAGTTCAGAAAGTTTTAGCAAGTTTTAACCATTGGTTTGACACTAATTTGTTCACCTTTCACATCTTATGGCAATCAAGGGATGCTAGCACTATATCATCATCTCCCGGCTGCAACACATTCTCAGAAACAGTTGCTAAGGTAAGCCCTAATGGGGATTATGTGCAAGCCATGTGACCCTTATAATGACAGTAGTGCCATCTATGGGTGAGGCACTGAAAAGAGAAATTGACACCAGGTTCTTTCTCTAAACCGAGTAAGTACCAATCCTACTCGTAGACATATAGACTGCACAGTTATAATGTGAATAAATTCCATCTAAACC